CTATACATTCATTTTTATATTCAAGCTGGCCCTGCCCGGGACGATATAATTCGTAGGGTAATGATGTTTTAGCTTTGCATGTAATATTCAATTAATTAACAGTAAAACAACAATTTTAGCGCGCCTAAGCTATTGTTTGCTAAATATAAAACAATATTATTAACATTCTTTTTCGTGTTGAAATTGAAAGTTGAATCATAAAGTATAACATTAAATACAGCCGGCCATGGCCACCGATCGAGAGATGGAATGCAACAGATGATGGAGATCTTATTAACACTACCACTAGCATTGAAGGAAAGTCAACCGATTATATACATAAGTGGATTTAGTTTGTGGAGTGGATGATTTTGTAAGTCTGGATAGACGAATTCTAATGGCTTTGGTGACATGTAACGCAACATGATCATGCATCATCTCCATGACACTATCTTTGAAAAACTTACGATGGGCGAAAAGACATGCATATATGATACCAAAAGGGATTTGATCAATTAAAGCATATCATCGTTAGAGCACCATTAGTGTTCAGTGATACAAGTTGTTCACATTAGCATATATGCAATTTTTATGATCAAACTGCCCTTAAATGGCATGTCAGCTTATTAAACATATTTTTATGTTAGTCTAGCTAATTTTATTTAATACACCTTTGTTCTAATTGACATCTGATAGAAGTGGACTTTGGGTGCTATAGAGCCACATGTCCTCTTCTTGACCATAGATCTTTTCTTGATCTCATCGGTTCTTGTTGCATTTGAAATTAAAAGGGATAAAGTAACAGTTATGCCATGCAAGTAGATATGGAGTGTGACTGAGTTTGATTTGAATGAAGAGTGTTTTTTTTTTTACTTAAATATATAAAATGAGAGAAAAATTTTAGATTGAAATATTTGAGATATATTTTTATTGTTTTTCGTTAAAGTTTTGCTTTATTTTCTATTTACAACAGAACAAAGGATAAGATAGTAATCTTTTTTTCTGGACGTTCTAAAAATTTAGTATTCCTATAACAAAAATTGGGTTTTAATATTTTACTTAATTAGTCATCCAATTATTTATTTAATATACATTATTTTTTCGTATGGTCAGTAAGAGGTTGAGCGTGTATATAAACTATTCATTAGTGGTCTTTCTTTCTTTCTTGGAAGTTTGAGCCCTCCATCCTGTAAGTGAGTGGAAGTATGTTCTGGCAGGTGGATGGAGTAGCCTCCTTTGTTTTCAATGACCCAGAAAAGACCCTTTCCACAAAGCAAAGTGACTCAAGAAGCCACTCTTTTTCGTCCCTCGTTGACAATTTACACTTATGGACAACGAGAAAAAAACAAAAAAGGAATTGTAACACCTAGAATTAGGACGTCTCTCTAGTCCAAGTTAGCTTCGTCCTAGTACTGTTTGACAAATGTCCACAACGAAGAGGCGAGCCCAAATGTGGGCGGAGAAGGCTAGCGGCAGCAGTATTGAATTATTGATATGCGAGAGCCGAGAGTGGGCGGCATGGAGGCTTTCACGGCAGAGTTTATTTTAATATCCACGAGCCGCTTTGATCTTATCCGATATTTATTCATCAATCAATAAAGAGTCACCTGAACGAAAAGATCTAATCTAATAAATCACCCCACTGGGATGAGGTCAGGAATGCATTTGAGCAAAAACCAAATCACTAATTGATTATTTGTAGTGAGTAGTGACCATAAATTTTATAACAATTGGACAAAGTTATACTTGCACAATAAAAATGGTTGGTATGGGATGAACTTAAAATTCTTTTTCGAAAAACTTTGTTTCAATTTAGACTATGTTTAGTATCATGGTCGCTTATCAAGTAGGTGTTTGGCATGGTGCTGGAAACAACATCATATACTGTTTTCTCATAAAAATAGTATTTGACATGTGGAGTTGTATTTTTTTTTTTGTGTGTTTGGAACCTATTCTGCCATATAGGCATTTTTAACATTGATGTATATTATCTAACGTCTAAGATGATGTCACATCATTGCACCGCCGGTAGTAATACATTGTTTTCTCAAAAAATATTGAATTTTATATTACTTTAAACCGTTCTTTTCCAATTTTCAAGGTGTGATCTGGAACACACCATTTTTTTTCTTGATGTGGTGCCTACATGGCATTGTTTTCTCAAAAAACGACATCGATGCCAAACATCACCTAAGTAATATTTATAATTGAATTTTATCTTGGAAACCAGAATAGTGGCATTGTATACAAAATTCAATATATAATTTTTTATTAGTGTTTAAGATATTTAGTTGTGATTAACCATCACATAGGATAAAAAGTTGAAAACCATGGTTTTAAAAAACAACCTGAAAATGGAACTGTTTTGGCCACCAGTTTTCGAGTCAATGGTTTGACTATTCAGTTCAAATGGATGACCCATTCTAATAAAGAAAAAAAATAATTAAAAATAAAAATGACCAAAAACCATTAAACATGTCAATGGTTTAACCACCCGGGTCAATGAGTCATTGACCGATTCAACGGTTTTTTACCAAAGACCGAATTTAAGATAAAATAAAACCGATTGCCTAGACAGTTCCTGAGTCGAACAATCTGATTGTCTTGCTCAACGACAGTTTGAAAACCATATTAAAAACAAATTTTGAGAATAAAAAACAGCAAAAAAGGTGTTTTCAACAAAATGGCAAGAAAAATACAATCAATACTAAATATATACCCAAGCGGCACGAACAAAAAACTTGACAAATCCTTGCCTGTGTTTATGAAAATCAGAGGTCTTGAACTGGAAACCTTGCTTCATCCTTTCTTGGGTTAATTTATGAAAACAGTTTGCAGCTTGTTCAAGTTAGCTAGAGTTAGTACAGTGCTTTTTATTTACAATATTAGGTGTCATTCAAGCAGAATATATTTTAGAGTTAAAAATTAAAATATGGTTTTTGTCATTCATCAACCTGAGCAGGAAGACAAGTTTTATAATTTAAAAATTTGAAAGAATGGAAAAAAAATCAATATCTTTTGCTTAGCCAATAGCCAATAACGTGGAACTGCGGGATTGCCTCTATAATATTATTAATCTCAGTTGATATCAGTCGTTTTGTAAGAATTGTAAACCTAAAAGTTGATACGCATACCAACTTTTTGACCCAATTCATTCTAGCTCTATCACTCTAGTCTCTAGCTTGTGGTAAGTGGTAACAACCCACAACCAACTTAATCACTTTAACCACTGAAAAAACAAGACAGTAGGCCCTTCGGTTAATCAGTTCTCAAAGGTAAGGCTGGAATCTGAATGCACGAATATACCAGTACCTGGTACCCGTACCCGTATCCAAGCCCTACCCGCGTAATTGTCTCTTCGTTGTGGTTGGAGGAGGATGGGATTACAATTCTGCCTCCATTACAGTACTATTTTAATGGGAAAAGAAAAGAAATTTATTTTCTTGTGACCCAGACATCTCAAGTACTTGTTTAATCAAGTGGACGACTGTGACTTAGAGTATTGGACGGGGAAACGCTAGCACTATTCCACTATCTACGTACTCCAATCTCTCTGGCCCATCTCATCCCTCAGCTATCCAATTCGGCCTCCTAAGCCAGCATTGTTATATTAACAAGCCTCCTCCTGCTTGAGTTGATTTGAATAAATAAATATCCAGGCACAACGTTAATATCATCGTTGGCATCAGTAGATTAGATTAATAGATAAACCCAGGCTCATCGTTATTATCAATCAGCATGCATGATGGATCCAGTGTCTTCACTCTTTTCCAATTTTAAACTTTGGACATTGAAGAGAGAGAAATTTTTAAGGGAAAATTTCTATAGATACTTTACACCTTAGGCTGAGTGCTAATCTAATACCTGAATTTCACATGAACTCATGTATGATTTAATATTTCTAAAAATGTCAAAATTAACCTTAGATACTGTTCATCATTTTCTAAATCAGGATCAAATGTGCATTACTGGTTTCGAAACCTCAATCGTGGGCTCAAGACCTGACACTAACTTCGGCCTTGCCCAATGCTATGGGACCTCTCCTTGCTCGACTGTGTTTTGTGCTACGCTGAGACTCGTACCATCCTTCCCCATTGTTTCCCCTACAATGGGGGCCGCATCTTCTTGGACGGTTGTTTCATGCGGGCAGAGAACTATAGCTTTTTCCAGGTGTTCACCGGTCCTAATGACCAGGCCTTGTGTGGATGGGACAGAGATTCCAAGAGTCGGCCAGAGACCCGAATAAGCTTGGCTGGACATTCCCAAAACAGGGGCAGAGCACCCAGAACAGTTTATGTAAAAGCTGTTCTTCCTCTACCAAACTAACCGAGTATCAATTTAGAGCATTCAAAGAGTCACAGCAGATAGTAGAGTTTCAGAGACCCGGAGCTTGGCTGGACATTCACAGAATATGGGAGCACCAAAAACCGAAACAGGGGAATGTTTTACCGCTCATCCAAAATCCAAAACCGAGTGAAAAACCATTGTTTTTTGGCATGAATAATGTCTGCCGGCGTTATTCCGACATGAAAACAGGCCGACTACGTGCAAAACCGTGCATAAAATGGGCAGAGATTTACTGGTCAGTCTCGTTGCTTTATGCTCATTTGGACATTTTAATTTGGGGAAACCATATTCTGGGGATTTTTTGCCATCAATGGGCCGTCTTGGGTGTGAAAAGACGCTGAATATCTCCCTTGAAACACTACTGTGTTCGCTGGTTCGAATGAATATTGTATCAAAAAACGGGTGAAGAAGAAATAAAGATTCGAATAAGCTAACGAAAATCCAAAAGAAAATAAGAGGTACAATACTCGGAGACAGAAGAATACCAAAGAAAAGAAGAGGTTAAATACTTGAAAACGTTTACATTTAAAGGGTATTTTTGTCTTTTTATATGCTACTTTACGGTTAACGCGGGTATTAGATTGTCGCGCTTTAAAATTCGGATACTAAATTGACACTGGCCTAAAATACAAGATACTATCGAAAATATTCCCAATTTGTATAAATCGATTTACAGTGTCTACTGTACATGATAAAAGCAGAACTGGAGAATCCATTTCTCTGTCCAAACACTACCCTACTGTTCTTCTCCAAAGTATCTGTCACTGTCAGTGCTCGTACTACAACATTTATGGATGCCCTCTCCGCTCTGATGCTCCGATATCCAAGCACCGTGTGTAATTACTGATTGTGGACCCATCCAAGTTGCGTGTCTCAGTGCTAATGACCGTCTGTTCTGTGCTGGGTGGTTTTTTCAGCCTCTTTTTGCCGGGGTCTTTGCATTAGCCTAGCCGTCACGGAACCATTCCTAAATTAACCCTGATTTATTAAAAATAATTACATATGTTTGGTAATAATCAAGGCTGATTCGGTAAACTTGCGCATCCATAGTTTCCAAGGTCTGACTTATCCCCATCGAGCCCCGTCCAAAATTCCACTGTAACCGCATATTTATTTATATAATCATGAATTTAAATGCCCCAATGACATAAGACCATGAGCTCTTCCCTTTTCCTGTCTCCCCTGTGGCCCTGCCTTGCCGTTGATGCTTCCAGAAGAAAACCAGCCCCAGCCATCAATCTTCCCAATCTTATTCCTACCTGTTGCAAAACTCTTTCCTTTTCTACTCACCCCAACTCCCTCAAATCTCAGCCTTTTCCGTCTCAGGGATCTTGAAAATCTTACCTTTTTTGTCTCTCCAATGGTCATATCTCTTGGATTTCTCTGGCTTTTCCTTCTCCTTTGCAACCCAGTTTTGTCGCAGTTCGTTGAGTTCTCCTATAACGGGTTCAGTGGAGTTGGTAACAACATCAGCTTGAATGGAGTTGCGGAGATTCAGAGCAATGGGATTCTTCGCCTAACCAACGAGACCAGAAGATTAATCGGTCACGCTTTCTATCCATCGGCTATCCAATTTCGAAACTCCACCGACGGGACTGTTTTCTCTTTCTCCACCTCTTTTGCTTTTGCAATCGTTCCAGAATACCCAAAGCTTGGCGGCCATGGCCTCGCTTTCACCATTGCCCCCACGAAAGAGCTCAGTCATGCGCTTCCTAGTCAGTACCTCGGCCTGCTCAACTCCAGCGACAATGGCAACTTCTCCAACCATGTCTTTGCCGTGGAATTCGACACGGTTCAAGACTTCGAATTCGGTGATATCAACGACAACCATGTTGGGATCGACATCAACAGTTTGCAGTCCAACGGTTCTATTACCGCCGGGTATTATGCCGATGGTTCCACACAACAAGACCTTAATCTCAAAGGTGGCAAGACCATTCAGGCATGGGTTGATTACGATGCGGTAAATCATCTTATCAGCGTAACGCTTTCGCCTTCTTCTTCGAAACCCAGTCGCCCCATCCTCTCCTTCAATTTGGATCTCTCCCCAATTCTCCATGACACCATGTACGTCGGCTTCTCTGCTTCCACGGGTCTACTCGCCAGCTCCCATTACCTATTCGGATGGAACTTTAAGATGAACGGAGAAGCTCGAGCTCTTGACCTCTCTTCTCTCCCTTCGCTCCCCGGGCCCAAAAAGAAACACACGGCCTTGACGATCGGCGTATCTGCCTCGGCCGCTCTTCTCTTCATTGCAGTAATTTCCATTACAGCCTATCTCATCTGGAAGATCAGAAACGCGGACGTAATCGAGGATTGGGAGTTCAAAGTTGGCCCACATCGCTTCTCCTACCAAGAACTCAAGCTGGCAACGAAGGGTTTTAGAGAAAAGGAGCTACTTGGGTTCGGCGGGTTCGGTCGAGTTTATCGGGGAACACTACCGAATTTGAAAACCCAAGTTGCAGTTAAGCGTATCTCGCACGAATCAAGACAGGGATTGAGAGAATTCGTGTCTGAAATCGCAAGCATCGGTCGTCTTCGCCATAGAAACCTCGTCCAATTACAGGGATGGTGCCGCAGACGAGGAGATCTTCTCCTCGTGTATGACTTCATGTCAAATGGGAGCCTGGATATGTTCCTTTTTGACCAACCCAAGTCGATTCTGAGCTGGGAACAGAGATTCAAGATCATCAAAGGCGTGGCGTCGGGCCTATTGTACTTGCACGAAGAATGGGAGCAGGTGGTGATTCACAGAGACATTAAAGCGAGCAACGTGTTGTTGGACGGCGAGTTGAACGGTAGACTGGGTGATTTCGGACTCGCTAGGTTGTACGAGCACGGGTCGAACCCAAGTACCACCCGGGTGGTGGGCACCCTGGGGTATCTGGCGCCGGAGCTGACGCGTACGGGGAAGGCTACGACGAGCTCCGATGTGTTTGCTTTCGGTGCTCTGTTGCTTGAGGTGAGTTGCGGGCGGAGACCCATTGAGCCGAAAGCGTTGCCGGAAGAGCTAATATTGGTGGATTGGGTGTGGGACAGATGGGCAGAAGGGGGCATCTTGGATGTGGTAGACCCAAGGTTGAATGGGGTTTATGACGAAGCCGAAGTTGTGATGGTGGTCAAGTTAGGGTTGATGTGCTCCAGCAGTGATCCTGCGTCACGTCCGACAATGAGACAGGTGGTAAGGTATTTAGAAGGAGAGGTGAGGTTGCCGGAAGCGGTGAGCGCGCCGGGGGAGTACAAATCGGGCAAGAACGAAGAGGGGTTTGATGATTTTGTACATTCCTACCCCTCTTCGTCTGAGAAGGTGAGTTCCCATTCTTTCATGGGTACCGGAGACATTGAGACTGGAATTCCTCCTTCGGCATCGCCTCTCTCTCTTCTTTCTAACAGAGGTGATTGTGAGAGAGAGAGTGAGTGATGAGAAACCGGGTTAAAAAGCTATTTCTTCTTTCATTTTGATTTGGGTGTTTTCTATTCGGTCTTGTTTTTTTTTTGTTGTAAATTATTAACTTAATCACCTTGCATAAGCAGAGTGTATCTCATCACATAACTTGACAACGAAAAACGGAACTCTTGAATTAATTTCTTGGCTTATTCTGCTGCATCCCGGTTAGGCTAAATTTGTACTCTAGTTTATTTTTGCCGATGTTTGGCAATATTAGATTTATGCATTGACAAATAACAGGCCAATCCATATTTACATTGACATTATCAATAAAAAAGAAGTTTGCATTTATTATTGAAATTTATTTTTGCATCTATTATGGTGAAAAGTCTGTTTGATAAGAAGATAAATTTGTCAATGCAAAACTAACCTAATTTTGCAATTTATATGAACTGTTTTACACTCTACATATTTGCATCATTTCCAAACACAACCTTAGTATTCTTAATAGGTGTTTGGTATCGGTGCTTCACACCGTTTTCTGAGAAAAACAGTCATGGGCATGTGGAGTTCTAATTACCATTTTTTCAGAATGTATCTTATATTTTATTTGGAACTGGTGTTGCTATATAGATGTTTTTTGATAAAACAACACTGGTTTTGTTTGGTGCTAAATAGTGCTGACATTAACATTTTCAACATTGATCTATATTATCCAACACCCAAGATGATTTCACATTGATGCCATGTCATTGTATCATTGGTAGCAATGCAGTCTTTCCTAGAAAACTTTGAATTTGGTGTTGCTCTAAACCACACTTTTCTGATTTCCAAGGTGTGGTTTTGAACAACGTTTTTTCTTTTTTTTTTTTGGAAAAATGGTACCGAACAAGAGGGTGTTGTTTGATGCACCGTTTTCTCTCATGTGGTGCCTACATAGTGTTGTTTTCTCAGAAAACGACATTAATGCCAAATATCTCCTTAAAATGTTGTTATTATAGTGAAAGACCATCTAGGAGACTAAGTGTGTGTTTTGTTTCGTGGACATTTTATGATAGGCGTTTATCAAATCATCATCATGTCATCGTGAAATCAACGTTTTTCTTATCATGTTCATCAATATGCATTGATATTTAGAAAAATGGGTTTTTATTTATATACGCATCAATCATTGGGAAAACTTCATTTTAACGCTTCCCTCAATAGTTGAGCATTTGTTCACTCAACTGTTGATGTAGCGCCTGATGCCTAATTGTCAACAAACAATTTATCAAATACTTTATTAAATAAATACCAAACACATACTGAACAATCTTGGTTAAGTTGGGAGGTTTTTTTTATTGGAAAATCCATAAACGAAACTTAACCATTTGGTTTACCTTGTGTTGTGGGTGATTGTTAGATATGATTAGTTGTGTGTGATCAGGGCTTGTCACCAACTTGACAATTTTAAAAGGGGACCAATTAGTCATAAGTGGGACTTGATCCTTTGAATCAGGGCTGCATCTACTGGTTATGACAAACAGAAAGAGTTTTTCCCCTCTCAGTAGTATTGATGGCTCCTTTATACAAGGAAGGGATATGGCATACAGGAACAGGCTTTATTATCCTCACTGCCGAACAAAGATCGGTCTATGCAGGCAGCTATCGAGTTGTAGTCTCATCCCTTCTCCAAGCTGAATGGTTGGCCTTCAGTAGGGGCAAGGTACAATGCCTGTTTCTCCGTGATTGGAGTCATTGGACTTATTGGTAGTATGGACAGGGAGTGCAATCTGGATTCTGGATGGTCTTAACATAGAGCAAACTGGGCCTAACTCGATGCTTGAGTTGGTCAATTCAGCGCCCCAGTCCATGAGTCTATCTCTATCAAGAAATTGCCTCAATTAACTTCTGTTTGCGAGTGTGCAAGGCCACGTTTCAACATTATCCATTAATGAGGATGTACAAGAGTGACCAATTTTGTTAGCACTTACTGCCAAGGCCATCAAAGATGTTAAATTTAACTATTTAAAATTGGGTTTCACCATGATGGCAGAAACATATGATTCTAGAAAAATTCACAGCCAATCAACCGGCATCATACAAGCAGTCACCAATCAGGTGGTTTTAATCAAAATTCCCAGGGGTTGAGATTGGTCAAAGCCTTTCTGATATCATGTTTTTCAGCATCATATATTTTCTCTTTTAAAATTATTCTAAAACTAAGAATTTTGATTGCCCAATATACAAGTAAAACTAATAAATGTTCATGTGCATCGCACATAGTAATTTCGATTTAATAATGACGATGATGATTTTAATGTCCTTATTGGAAACAATGTATCAAAGACAAGTAAGTAAAGCATGGTGTATTAGTGGATTTGCTTCACTTCAATCAAAATGTATCTGGGTTTAAATATTTTTGCTTATAGTTTATGTAAACATTTTTCAACATATGATTGCATCAAACGGTCAAACTGATTCATCTATCATCTAAATATATACTATTATAAAGATAATTATATTTAACCTAATTTACATTTTCTTTTTATATTTATATTAAATATAGTCTATATAATAAACATGGTTACTTAAGATCAGTAATATTGGTTTTACTTGACAACAACAAGTTATAATGATGCTATTCTAATTAATAATTTCTTACCCTTGTAAAATTGGATCTTTTAATAGGGTATATCAAAAGGGAAGGGTAATTTTTGTCTAAAAGGTCCAGAAATTAATATTATCAGAACATCCATACATTTTGTAATTTGTAGTAGTATAGATATAGATAAGAAAAATCATAAAAAGAAAATACGACAAGTTTTTTCTACTAGTTTAAAGGTAAATGCCAAAATAAGATTTATACAATTTATATGTGCATGTGAAGTGTGGCCTCCTAGAGATTTTCTCAATCATATATATGCTATTAGTAAAAATGTATGTGCGTTGCACGTGGCAATATCAAATGATGATAATGATAATACTCAACAACCAAATGACCTTACTGGTTGAACCACTATCCTATTTAACTAGGAAAATGGATTATGATTAAGATATTAATTCATTTTTTTCTTTGTATTTTAGCAATTTTTATATTTACTAACAATAATTCTTATTTTTCAAACATATTTTTGTTTAATATGAAAAATATATAATATTAATAAAAAATTCTATATTTTTATTTTTCATTATTTAATTTATGAGATAATAAAAATTACTTATTTACCAAGAGGAAATGCAATTCCAATATATTGTTTGAACATTGGTTTTTAATATCTATATATATGTATATATCAGGTCGTGTCAGATTCGGATATCCAATATATTGATCGGATTCAGATTTGAATCAATATTTATGAGATCCGATCAGATCTTCGGATCAAATCGAATTCAAATATACCATGTTTCTAATCCAATCCGTTCTATTTGTATCCCTACCAAACCACTTGCCTATAATGATCTATCTAATTAAATCATTGAACCATTTGACTTGGTTAGTGGGGTCATGTGTTAGACATTAATGCTCTTTATTTTTTGTCATAATTTTTATCCCATTTCTATCATTAATGAAAATAAATCTCATTAATCACACTTTTTTATATGATGAATATATAATTTATAGAATGTACCCAAAATTATTTACAAATTTCTATATTTTCTATAATTTTATGTATTTTATTATTTAATAATAACATCATGTGTTGATCCATTTAACATGGATGGTTGAACCACTAACCCACCACTTCGATGGAAAAACCATTTTTTCTTTTTCGATTGATTTTAAATCATGTATTAAATTTTCATCGTCAATAAAAGTAATTCTTATTTTTGCATTTATTTTTGTACGTGGCAGTACCAAATGATGATGATGATAATAATCTGAAACCAAAGAACCTTACTGGTTGAACCATTAACCTGTTTAACCAGGAAAATGGACTATGATTAAGACATTAATTCATTTTTTTCTTTGTATTTTATCCATTTCTACCTTTACTAACAATAATTCTCATTTTTCAAACATATATTTGTTTAATATGAAGAATATATAATATTAATGTATGCTAAATTTTTTTATAAAATTTATATTTATATTTTTTATTATTTAATTTATGAGATAATAAAAATTACTTATTTACCGAGAGGAAATGCAATTCCAATATATTGTTTGAACATTGGTTTTTAATATTGTGGTCAAATCAATTATTTATATACATAGTATATATATTATTTATATATAATATATATGTTATTTATTATTTATTTATAAATATGTTGTTTATATTACATTTTGTAAACTTTTTATATGATGGAAAAAGTTGAAAAATACTTATATTTTTTGTTTTTCTTTGTTTCAATTATTATATTTTCTTTTCCTTTTAATAATTTATTACTTTTTTAATAAAATTAAATCGAATCATATCAAATTCGAATATCTGACATCTTGATCGGATTCGAATTCGAATCAATATTTATGAGATCTGGTCGAATCTTTGGATCAGATTAAATTTGAATATGCCATAATTCAAATATGATATAATCTATTTGCATCCCTACCAAACCATTTGCATATGATGACATAGCTAATTAAATTATTGAACCATTTTGACATGGTTAGTCGGGTCATCTGTTAGACATTAATGCTCTTTATTTTTTATCCTAAGTTTTATCCCATTTCTATCATTAATGAAAATAATTTTCATTAGTCACACTTTTTTATATGATGAATATATAATATTATAGAATGTACTCAAAATTATCAACAAATTTCTACATATTCTAGAATTTTATGTATTTTATTATTTAATAATAACATCCATTTGACGTGGATAGTTTAATCACTAACCCATCACTTGGATGGAAAAACCATTTTGTTTTTTTGGTTGATTTTAAATCATGTATTCTATTTTCATCATTGATAAAAGTAATTCTTATTTTCATATTTATTTTTGTTTAATATGGTGAATATATAACAATAGGATTGTATCAAAATGCTTTATACAAAGCTTATATTTTTCTTTGAGTTTATGTATGTATGTATGTATTTAATATTCGTTACTTAGTTATGACATCATAGATTAACCCATTTGACTCGGAGTGTTAGATCATTGACTTACCTATCATCTAGATATGGAAATGGTTTCATTTTCAAATTGGTTTAAAATTTTTCATTTCATTTATATCATTGATAAAATAATTGTTATTTATCATACTTATT